AGGAAAAAGCAAAAAAAAAACACACGCACATTAAGTCATTAACAAATGACTTTGAAATTTCAAGTGCGCCCTCTCTCAGAGCATTTTGTTACTGCCTCTTTCTTCCCCGCACACAACCTGACAAATATTTATATCATTGAAAAAGATTATATTAATATAATTTTATATTTTTTTTTCGAAACGACTGATAATATAATTTTATGTTTTAAGTCCATAAAAAATCTCATCTTCGAAAAAATATTCAAAAACAAAAAACAGGTAAAGATGAGAAGCTAAATTGCGCACCTGATTTCCCTTTTCTGGAACCCAAGTGCTTCTTTGGAGAAGGTTCCCTCTAAACAACATATAAAGGTCTGTAAATTATTTTTGAAAGAAAATGGAAAAAAAATAAAACAAGAAAGAGAGAAGAGAACATAAATATGTAAAATATTACATCAACAAAGTGTGAGAATCAGCAAATTGTACCTCAAAGTGTTCCACTGGCCGACTACAATGATTTTGGTTAGGTCCCATATTGTCCTGAAAATTATTACAAACACGTATATATTAACAAAGTAATTACACAAATACTATACTGTACCGCCAAGATACAAACTTTCACTTATCAAGACCGAAATACAAATAATTTGGATTTCGTTTCTTTATGTTCCTTTATTTTATTTTTATTTTTTTATCTTTTTTTTTGGTTATGAACTTGCCTGGTTGGAATGAAAGAATGGTGAGGTTGCAGTATCGTCGAGACTAAACTGGTTATGTTTCTTATCCTCTTTGGTGTTGTTTTTGCGCTTGCTCGTTTTTTTATGATCTCCAGAAAACGAAGAACTATGGTCTTCGTTTCTACTCAGTCGAGGCCCTGATGATGCATCTGAAACTATGGACAAGCTATCATCATCATCATCATCATATGTTAATTTTTTTCGGTTGTCGTTAGAATCCGTGGAATTCGATAGTTGATCCCAGTATGTTGTCCATCCCGATTCGCCTCCGCTGCTACTTTCGGAAGTAGTTATATTGTTCATCTTTTTTTGTTGTGTGTGTGTGTGTGTCTTTTGAAATTTTTACAGGATTCTTTGCATAGAGAGGGTTGTGTACTAGTTGGAAGTCCTTGAGTTGATTCTTTCTATTTATAAGGCAAAAGAAAGAGTTTCTTTTTTTTTTTTTTTTTTTTTTTTCATGTGTATTGACGTTACTTTGACAGGAAGATTGTAATGATTTTTGGGGTGAATTTGTCCCTTATAACCGGGTACTACCTATCGTGTGTATACCGGTCACTGCACAAAAAATGTGTTATATTCTAACGAAAAATTCTATTGTAATATATTCCACCGGTATAGATTCTGTTGAAATGGTTCTAACGGAAATTTCAGCGAAAATATTCATTTGGAATGTGTTTTTTATTGAAATTTTATGTGGAATTTAATGATTCTAATGGCTATATTTTCAACAAGTTTTTACCATATGAATTTTCGTTGGAATATGCAATTTCTGTTGAAATTTTTATTTCCATCCCTTTTGGAAAATCTATCGTTGGAAGAAAAATCTATCGTTGGAATCGTCAAAATCCAACGGAAATTCCAATGGAAAATTTATTCCAACAGAATTTTTTTTGTTGAAATTGGAATCCATTGAAAATTCCAACGGAAATAATAGTTTTGAAATATTCGTTAGAATTGTCGTTGGAATAATTTTATTGAAAAATATTTACGTTTGAATTTCATATTTTTTTGTAGTGTGTGTGATCAGATGGTTCATTAGGTGTAAGTATGTATGATCAGATTATTAAAAATCCTTAGAAATAGTGGGATTAAAATGTAATAGTATTGGTAGTGCACTTAAGCACATTAGGATTTTGTGTAAAAAGCAATATATTTTGTGTTAGATAATCTACATGTACTTTTGTGTAAAAATCAAAGTATATTTAGTGTTAGATAATCTAAGGCAAAATTTTAATTTTGGTACGTTAACTTGTCCAAAGTCCAATTTTGGTACGTTAAGTTTTCCCTAATCAAAATTAGTACGTTTACTTGCATTTTTTATCAAATTTAGTACACTAATCCGGCGGACCCGAATAACACGATGACATGGCAACAATTTAAGCGACGTGGTTGTTTTCTTAACACACTGCATCAGTTTACGTGGCATAGCAGGTTACGTGGCATATGTTGGGGTTATTTTCCCTCGTTTTTTCCTCTTCTTTACCCCCAAACCCTATTTTTTTCCCCAAACTTCAAAACAGATGAGAGATGTCTTCTTCATCAACCTCCTCTCCATACACCTTGAATTGCCATTGCGGTTTTAAAACTCAATTGCACATTTCGAAGACGAGCTTAAATCTTGGAAAAAAGTTCCATGGATGTAAGAACTGAAAAGATGGTGGTTGCAACTTCTTCAAATGGTCTGAAAATACATCGACCACCCACTCTCAAGTTTCATCTGATTCGATCTTGGAATTGGAGCGTAAGTTTTCTCTGATTGAAGAGAATAAAACATCAATGGTAGAGTTGGAGTGGAAGATTTTGGTTCTTGAAGCAGAAATGCAGGCCTTGAAAAATTGAACAATGCTCAGTCATCGTCTACTTTGAAGAAACTGAGATGCCTGGAATTTCTTATTGTTATCACTTGGTTGATCTGTTTTTTTATTGTGGTGATGAGATGGTAAACAAGTTCAGGGCCATGTGTTTTAGATGTTTTTGAAAAATGTAATGGTACACTTGGTTTCTCTGTTATTTTACTTTGTTTGAAGAATGTAACAAGTGTACCAGCATTTATTTTGGTTGTTTGAAGAATGTAATGAAACTCTGATTTTGTGTGCTCAAGTTTATTTTGGTTGTTTATTTTGCTCTGCTCTGTTATTTCTTTTTTGTATCTGCTTGTAGTGAATTTGTTCCTGTGAATCATAATTGTGATTTAATTAAGAACCTGTTTTCCTCATAACTTTACTTGTAACTCATGACAAAAATGAAACTATTATCATGACAAACATTAACAAAAATGTTACACTAAAACTGAAACTGCACAAAAACAAAACCACCAACTGATGTCCTTATGTTGTTCAAAATGAAACTGCACCAAAACAAAACAAAACCATTCCATTTAAGTTGCACCAAAACTAAATCACCAAAATTACAACTCCATACTTTCATTAGATCAAAAGCACCAAAATAGTTCAATGTTGTTCAACAATTCCAACAAAAGAACCCAAAAAATCAGAAAGTAGCTAAATGATTACATAAATAGACATCAAATTCAACTTCTCAAAAACAGTTAAGTATTTACATTCACTTGGGAGCATTGCCCTTCTTATCATTCTTTTTCACAGCATTCATGGAACCAACTAAGCTGCTTAGGGAAGTATACTTTTTCCCATCTTCTTGAAATATTTCCCTCATCCTTGTTTCATCCTGTGATATGCAACTCTCTTGACTAGGGATAAAATGGCCACCAACAACAGGTGTTGGTCCTCTAATAGTGACACATGTAGTTGGCCCTGTCGGCTGAAATTGTTGAAAGACTGTAGGTAGTTGCTTGAATTACTGCAAGTTAGCTTTCTGAGGGGCATTTGTATGCTTCACATTCCTCAAGGTTGGTCTTGTATATTTTACCTGAGTGGATTCAGAATGCATAAATTAATACATACATAAATGGTTATATTTCATAGTAAATGCACTCATAAAGCATAATTGAATATTTAATGAATACATATAACCTTTGAGGTATCTTGAGTTGATATTTCAATTGCTGGAGCAGGTTCACCTCTGTCCTCTCTTCTTACCTGTACAAATTTGATAAAAATGTTAGACAATGAAGAAGTGTAATTTAAATAACAAATGCTTAAATTTTCCAAAGTTTATATGTACCTGACCATCTCTAGTGTTTGTGGTATTCACATTCTGACTTGAGCTGGGATTTGTAGCCTTCAATAAGGGACAACCCTTCTTGTTGTGGCCTTCCACATGACAAAATGAGCACTTACAAGTCACTTGTTGTCTTCTTATGGTTTGCTCATTGGTCACAAGTCTTGGCTTCCCTCTTGGCCTTTTTCTCCATTGAGGCTTATCTAGTTCTCTTCTTCTAGCCCTACTTGGCCTTCCAGCTGACCTGCCAATATTAAGGGGCACAGGTGGTATAAAACCAGTAGAAGCCCACTCTTTCCTGCCATTCATAGGCATAATTGTTGGTTCATAAACTCTCTTATAAGTTTCAACCTTGTAGCAAGAATGTGTAAAGTCTTCAACTGCTCACCCTTGCAGATTCACTACACTTAGTGCATGAAGGCAAGGGATTCCACTTAATTGCCACTTCCTACACCCACAAGTGTGTGCCCTCATATCAACTTTGTACTGCTCTCCATAGCCACATTCAATTTGGAAGTTGTAGTCATTAGATTTCAGTGGAATACATTCCACCAAGTTATCAGTCTGTCTATTCATGATTTCCTTAATCTTAGGGCACAAGACAAAATTCCACTTCTTTGAAGCTCTGTCCCTATTTTCTTGCATTCTTTTCATTAAGTAGTTCATGATCCATTCCAGCATACTCAAAATTAGTTCCTCTCTGGCCTCAAGAATGTTACAATTAAAGGTCTCACATCCATTGTTGAGTAGGATATCACACCTTGGGAATTCACTGAAGTGAGACCTACTCCATTCAGTAGGTGGTTTAGTAGCCAACCACTTGTAAGCACTCTCCCCACTCTCCCCCAAATCCCTCAATTGTTGCATTTTCCTGCTGAAATCATTAATGGTTGATGTTGTGGCACACCTCCATAGAGCATTTTTCAGTGTTATTCCTCTGTGCCCAGCTTTTGTGAAATTCCCAAGCAAGTGTCTAACACAAAATCTATGATCACAGTTAGGCAAAATATTTTGGAATGCCTGTATTAAGCCTTTCTGTTTATCAGAGATAAATGTCCATTCATGTTCATTTTTGATTTCCAAATCATTCTTCAGCAATATCAAAAACCATTCCCAATTATCTGTATTCTCCACACTAACAACTACATATGCCAAGGGGAAAAGAGAGTTGTTAGGATCAATCCCAACAGCTGTGAGCAATATACCTTTGTTAGGTCGTTTCAAATGGCAACCATCCACTCCTACCAAAGGTCTACAACCAGCCTTAAACCCCTGTTTCAGTGCATTCAAACAGAGGTAAAACCTCTGAAATATGTTCTCACCATTGTACTGATTAGTATCTAAGACTACAGTACTCCCAGGGTTTGTTCTTTTTATTTCTTCACAATAATCCCACAACAGAGCATACTGAGCATTAGGTTCTCCCTTCTGATCTGCAATAGCTTTCATCTTGCATCTATATGCTTGTTGTTTGAAGATATGCATCCTCAACTCTCTGGCAGCAGTTTTTATAAAACCTTTAACATTTCTATTAGGATCATCTTGCCATTCAGTGGCATATTTCCCTGCCAACCAACTAGACTTCAAATTTATGACTTTTCCTGTGCCTGCACAAGTGTGCCTCTGGTTGTACTTAATGATCTGGAAGGTTTGCTCACCCACAATTTTTACTGCATTGATTTTTCAAGGACACAAACTATCATCACATTTTGCCCTTAGATACTGCTTATCATTCTTTACAATTTTTATATTTCTCTTGCATTTGATTGCCCTAGAATGAACAGTTGTCCTAAGTTCTTTTTTTGAGGTAAACACCATTCCTACTTTGAAGGTTGGATCATACAGCTCCATTGGGTTAAAAGCAGGAAACTGTTGACCCTCCACTTCCTCATCAGAGTTGTTCTTACCATCTATATCCTCCCTATAGACCACATCTACCTCATCATTATTGTCTTCCTCATTGGGATCATAATTGTCTACAGCTTCAAACAAAGAGACATCCCCACCATCCCCACCCCACTCAGCTTCAGTATCAACATTTTCAGAAAATAACCTATCATCTATGATATCATCCCTCATGTCATACTCCCACTCATACAACTCATCACTGTCATCATCTTCTTCACTATCCACAACATCATCCTCACCATTCACATTTTGTTTTT